CATGGTTGATATACTTTATTGATGATGACGAGTAGAGCACCTTACCTTCCAGTGCAATATTAATGTTCCTCGTTATATTAAAATTTTGATTCACGCATGGCTTTGCATATGCTGCTGAGACGAAAACCAATTCGGTTTGTTACATATAATTAAATCATCAACAGTCAATAATATGTATTCAGTCTTGATAGGATAATCAATTTACATATACGCACGCTGCAAGGGTACGTAGAGGTGCAAAATTCCAAGTTCATCTTGATCGTACCACATATGGGTTTGAGTCTTGGTGTAGTCATTGCTCTTCTGGTCCCCCAGTCTCTTCACTTTAGGAAAACACACTTGTTACACATGGATGAGTATAAGACACAGCGTCAATCATCATTTCTTTATAAAGAAATATATGGACATTGTTTGTCACCTACAGGAGAGATTCAAGGGAGTTCCTGTCTTTTTTCTCAATCTGTTATTGGCATCCATTATAACTTTAAGAAAAATTAAAGGGAAGAAAGAGAGAATAAAAGAAAACCAACTTTTCAGACTTAATAACCCGTCGTTAAATTTAAGTATTTGAATGCAGTTACTTAAGAATTTGACTCCTATCAGTTATTTAAAAAAATTTTCACATAATTTTTTATGTTCAAAAATAACAAAAAAAAAAAAAAGCGAAAAGAAAGGAACATTTTACTAATCAAATCAAAAGTTATATTAAATTAAAAATCAAATTAATTAGAATTATTTGAATGATTTACTTTGACCCAATAACATGAACTTTGACTTAAGATTGTTCATTTTTTATAAACTGTGTGTTCAAATTTCATATATATTTTTTTAAATTAATATATAAATAATTTTAAATTGTTAAAAAAATTAATTAAAATTATTTTATTTTATTTCTAGTAAAAAATTCAAAACTTAGTCAAATTTATATAACATATTATTTATGATTTATATCAAAATTTGTCAATTTTTTAATTGCGGTCAATTTTGCCCACCCCTACTTTAGCGCGTCACATTGTAGGGAAGAAGAACGTGGGTGCTTAACTAAACCTACGTATGGACACATCTACGGAGAGGAGTATTATTTTTAGGGATTGTGAAAACAAGGACAAATCAATTAACCGAAAAAGGGCAAATACATCTCTAATATGCACCTAACTGTCGCAATCTTTCACATCTTATCTTTCTAAATATCATGTTTTATAACTGAAATTAACCAAAAGACAACTCTCTTTCTTTTTCTTCTTCTTCTTCTTCTTCTTTTTTATTTTTCTTTTTAAAGACTTGCAATTAGGAGATAAGGGGTGTTGTTTCAGAGTTGTTGGTGGGAGGAGTTTGAGTTTGGTCATAGATATGACTTGGGGTTGAACTGGTAAATCGCCAAGGACAGTGACTCTATTCTTTTAGTCCACTAATTTGATTCCATAATTAATTTTCATTTTCATTTTTTTTTTGGATATAATTAAAACATGGACCTGGAGTAGGTTAGAAGCAATCCCACAAACCAAACCAATCTTGCATTGCCGGATGTCAAAGAATTATTCATCCAGATGGACAATTGAGTCCCTTACAAGAGAAAGAGATAGGTATCATATATTGCTGTAGCAATAATAGCATGCAAAGGGATGTGATAGAGATGTATGATGAGAGCTGAGAATTGGGTTTCTGTTTGTTAGTGTTATGTTACTGCCTGCTGGTGAAATTGGCTTTTATACTCTTAATTATAAAAATAAATGTTTTTTTTTTCTGTTAAAAAAAATGATATAGTTTATGGTTGAAATGAAGAAAATGGGGTGAAACTGAATAAACCTCGGTGATGATAAAAAAAAATTTGACATTTTGCATTTTGGGGTGCATTCTCATTGGGATTTCAATATTAATATTAAGTATAATCTTCTGTCTTCTCATTCACTCCTAGCAAAAAACAGTGAAAACTCATAAAAGTCTAGGACTTTTCAACATCACC